TCCTAAGTACGCTGAATATCCACACCTCTGGCTCATCTGCAAATGAAGATTCATTCACAATTTACATGCAGGAGCCATGTTTACAGCTCTAGCACACAGCCATCTATGCTTGCTTACCCTTGACAGAAATAGTGCTACAAATGGCTGTAGCACTCAGTGTCCCCTCAGGAAAAAGATGACACAAATTGGGCAACCAAAGGAGCTTAATAAAGGGATAATTTACAGATTTGGATAGAGGAGAGAGAGAAAAAGAGAGAGCAACAAGGGAGGAGAGTGACAAGCGAGGAGAGGGAGTCATAGCCAAAAGCCCCAGGTTGGAAGTATCAAGGGGAGGGACTGGTTACCAGAACCCAGAGATAGGAGCTTTCAGGAAAGGTCCCCATAGGAGAGCAGGTCTTAAGTAGGGGGACACAGTCAACCCAAGATTCTTTGGCTTCGTGATGCAGGCCACACAGATGAACCTTCTGGGGTGCATGGGCAGGCAGAGAAAGGTAAGGAACATCCCAGGGGCAGACAGAAGATGCCCTGCAAGGTGCCTTGACACCCAACTGGAGGATAGCTTCAACAACAACAAACTAGCCTTCTGACACAGCCACATAACAGGATACTGTGCCTTTCAGAATTCAGGTTTGAATCCAGATCTTATGGATGTTGCCACGGTTAGATACCCACAAAATGTAGTAATTAGGTAAGAAACACAAACTACAGTTTGGTAAATACACTAAGAGCTCAAATTTGGATATACTTAAAATGTTAACAGAGGTTAACAACCTGTAGAGAGATGTAGGTGATTCTCCCGTTCCTAATCTATGTATATTTAAAGTTATATTTGGTGGATAGCTTTCCAGTTTGCCTTCTATCATGCCCCTATTCTATTGGCCATCATTAAGATAACAAGGAGTGCTTTGACTTTTGACTGGTGAACAGAGAAAAGTATCTACTGAAGCTTGGATTTAGATTTCCTCCTATGCTGAACTGTTTTCAAAGCAAACTGTATTATTTTTTGTTACTAAGAATCTAATGGAAAATAGGGAGAATGCTAGTGTCATAATGGATACCATCTCAGAGGTTCATCTTAACCAGGCTAACTTTTCAAAGTCCTCTCATTCTGGGTTATCAACAAGGGCTGGCTGAAGCACCTGCAAGGAGCAGTCTGTATTTGGAAAAAGTGACTCCTAACCTACCAGCTGGGCAGGTTCCCCAGCTACATAACATCAGCTCCAACAAGCAACGGATCAAGCAGCCACTGCCAGCCCTTATACAGAAGACTACATCTGAAAAATAAACCACAGAGTAGGCAACAGATTTCTCTCCTACTTCTCTCTTCTCCTGGGAGTTGGCAGGAAGGCTCATTAATTTCTCAAAGAACAATGGGGGGCTGCTGCCCTACTTTCCCAGGCTGGGCAGGCCCTTCTATCTCCAGGGCGGGCCTGAGTCACGCAATAGGTCACCACGTGAGGGGCTTGAACTCCACTGCTTCCCCAGCACTCTGCCAGCACCAGACAAGCCTCCCAACATTCTGCCTTTATTTCTGGAGACACTCTGAGCCTCAGGTGCCATTCTCCCAAGCTCCAGGCATAACAATCAGAGGAAGAGCTACCATTTACTCAATACTTTATGCAAGTAGAAACTGTGTTAGGCACTTAAACACATGTCTAACTGGTCAAAATCCCTCTGAAACACAGAGCTGACTGCCTGTCTCACAGAAACTGGTAACAACATGACAGTTTCCTGAGGCCACTCACGCGACAAGGTGGAGCTAATGGTGGAGCCGGGGCTCAAAGCTTGAGCAGCTGACTCCAGAGCCTGAGTCCTGTGTATCTCCCTGCACTGCCTTCTAGGAGTAACCTGGCAGACTGGCCTGCAACTCTATCTGTGCAGGGATCACAGCTGCCTAGGCTCCACAGTGAGGAGCTGAGCGGGGGACCCAAGCTCCTTCAGGGCAGCTTTCCCCAACCTCCCAGGGATCTAGGGAAGATAAAGAAAAGATCTCAAGCACAAGATAAGGCAGAGCAGCCTTCAGGCACTGGTCAGGGGTAGGGCAGGGAGCAGCCATTAACTAATGACCTGTTTTAGGAAAGTCTGCCAAGGGCTTCTCGGGTCTAGGGCCAACCCCTGCGGAGAACACTTCTGAAGTTTCTCTTTAGACAGAGGTATCCACCAAAACCAAGTATAATGTGACTCAAAAACAGCAATGAAGGATTACACATGGAGGGCCCTGCTAATATACTCTACACAAGCAAATCTCATGAGCAAATCTCAATCTTCCGAATTCTTTCCAGTAAGATCTCAGTTGCCTTAGGTTTTCAAATTTAAAGCGTAACAGTGCTTCTGGTGGTTCAGTCACATTACAAACTGGTCCAGGACACCCAGACCTCAAACAGTCCCAGGGTTCACTATAGCCACCTGCAACCTCTACCAAGAACAGAAATGTAAACATATGAACCTCCTGTCGCTAAGGTGCCAAGAGACAACTAGCATGTTAGCCTGAACAGCCAACTTCATTTAAGCTGGGCTGTGCTTCAGTGATTTCATGTTTCTTCTCCAGGAGGAAATAGTGAGGCTATAAGCCTGCCTGGCAAAGCTGCATGTTAACAGAGCATGGAAATCCTGTGGCAAATCACCCAGCATTATTGACCTCTTGGGTGGAAGGTATGTGCTCAGGAGATAGAGCCAAAAAGAAGAGGTAATTCGATTGGTAAAGCTGTCTTCCAGCCCATTTGAAAGATTCTGAGATACTGCCTTGATCTCAAACCAAATAAACACTCTGAGCCTCACGTTCAGACTACTCCCACTAGGTGGTCCCAATCTCACCCTCTACCCTTATTTCTTTTTCTTTTAGATTTTTTTTTCTTCTTTTTTTTTTCTTTTAGATTTTAATTCTTAAGTGATCTCTATATCATGGGGCTCGAATTTAAAACCCTGGGATCAAGAGTCACTGTTCCACTGACTGAGCCAGCCAGGTGATGCCCCTGTTCCTTATGCTCCCCTATGCGACCTCTATTCTCTATGGAAACCCAATGACCCAAGCTTTCCCAGCTTGATGCCTTCGCTTACGCTATTCTCTCCACCAGAACTCTTCATTTCAACTAGTTGCAACCTGGTTTTCCCTGAAGCACTTGGTTTTTTAAATCCACATCAAATTCCATGTCTCTGGGATCTTTCCTGAAGCCTCCTCCCACCCTCTGTCTTCAAACTTATCTCCACCCTCCCTACCCCCACTGATGTTTTTCTCCATTGGCCCCTCCTCCCATTTCAGAGTACACTGGACTTCTCTTACTCTTAAGCTGCCTTAGCCTATATCCTTGTCTGTAAACAAGTAAAACCTCTGTTTTGAAAAAGCAAAGGTAGGGATGCCTGTGTGGTTCTGAAGTTGGGCGTCTGCCTTCTGCGCCGAGCATGATCCCAGGATTCAGGATCGAGTCCCACACTGGGTTCCCTGCAGGGAGCCTGCTTCTCCCTCTGCCTGTGTCTCTGCCTCTCTGTCTCTGATGAATAAATAAATAAATCTTTTTTAAAAAAAGCTTAAAAAAAAAAAAGAAAGAAAAAGCAAAGGTAGAGCACACAGACTCTTGTGTGTAATCTCCCACGGGCCAGGAGCTCTGTTAACTCAAACTGATTCTCCTTAAGTGGTCTAGCGTCTGTCTAGTCCAGGCTCACTCAATCTCGGTTTCTGAACCTGTGAAAACTTTCTATTGCACAGGATCCCTCAGTCCCTGAGTGCCTGAGTTCTAAACCGCATCTTATCTGGAGATAAGAGTGCTGTAGGAATTGCCCCCACTCAGTTCCCACGCTGGGAATGGGATTTGTTTTGGTTTATATAACTTTGCAGCTGCAACCTGAATAGATTTGGGTAGGGCGTTTTGTCTACAGACTGCTCAAATGGACACGGCAGCTGCACTGTTCCCCTCCAATTTGCAAGCTAAATTCATCTCCTAAGAATGTTCCTGGGAGACAGACCCAGTCCCCTTCAGAGGCAGCTCCCTCTCAGCAAGAAGCCTGCAAAGGTAGCACTTGAACATTCTCTGGGTATTTACCAATCTCTGACAAACACATTCTTGTGCCTAGTAAGACATGTCACAGGTCACTGAAAAAATATTCAGGTACATATTTCTAACTATTCTCTAACAATGGTTGTGAAAGGAACCCGGGCCTCAGACTCCAAATGTTTTCTCCTCTCTAATCTCTCCTTGTTTTTGGAACCACCTAGCCCTCTGCCTCATCAACCCGGGAATGTGGGACGGGCAGAATGTTTCTGTTGGGAGAGAAGTTTGGTCTTCCAGGGGAATGCAGTATGAAAAATCATGGAGGAGTGGAGAATAGAAAAGCCCATCTGATCCCCTTTCAGCAGCTTCTCCCAAAGCTCACCCTTTTTTTTTTTTTAAAGATTTATTTATTTATTCATGAGAGACACAGACTGGGGGGGTGGGGTGGTCAGAGACACAGGCAGAGGGAGAAGAAGGCTCCTCGCAGGGAGCCTGATGCAGGACTTGATCCTGGATCCCAGGATCACGACCTGAGCCAAAGGCAGGTGCCCAACCGCTGAGCCACCCAGGCATCCCAAAGCTCACCCTTCTCACCCCCTCCTAGCTGACCCTAGACCTTCCCTCTTCTTCCTGAAGACTCCTACTAAGTTTTCTAGCTCTTCTTAAGCAGCTTCAGGGTAAGTATGACTCCCTGGATGGTGGCTAATGGGATCCATATATTTCCAAACAGCGTGTCATTTCTAGGAACTGCCTCACCCTCAGACTTGCTCTGCTTGGAGCCGCCACCCTCTAGTTTTAACCATGAATGGGCCTATCCTTTGCCATCTGGACAGTAAGATCCCCTGCCCCAGCAACTTGGGCTTGCCTCATCACAGTTGTCAGAAATGCTCTAGTCACAGTATGAAGGAACCAGGGCAACCCTGGCCCACATGTCCTGGACCCAGGAGTCGGCACACAAGGTAGCTGTGGTGGGCTGTGGCCAGCCCAGCTCCCTTTAATGTCACGTGGCCTTACCTCATCCCACTCAGAGGCAAAGGAGGGCGATTTCTCCAGCCTCTTCTTCCCGATGCTGCAGTTAGACAAGGACTCGCTCCGGCTCCCCATTGTAGTGTCCTCCGTGGGTGAGCAGGTCAGGAGATCAGAGTCAGACTTGGACAAGCTGCGGCTGAGTTTGAGTTCAGCTTTGGGTTTGCTGGTGGGAGGGGCTCGGCTCCTAGTCCCACTCCGGTCTTTTTCTTCCTCGGCACCACCAGGGTGTTGCAATGCTGTGTGAGTCAAAGTTTCGGGGTGCGATTGGCTGGTGGTGGTGGGCAGGCTGGCCGGGTAACCCACTCTCTTACCCTGGTCCAGGACACTGGGTGGGGAGGCTCCAGGAGCGTGTACACCCATCTCCTCCAGCTGCATGTTGGCCTCGTGACAGGCGCCCTGTGTGGGGGACCCTTCTGGATGGCTCTGGCCAGTGGCAGAGAGCAGCTGGAAAGGGTCCTGCCCCACCTCACACACCGGGGAGGAGCCGTGGAGGAGACCTGAGAACTGCTCTGGGACCTGCCCGTCCTGCCCCTCCGCAGAGTCCTGGCTCCGGCTGCTGCTGCTCCGCCTGTGGTCTTGGAGTGGACGGAGAGACAGAGAAATAAAAAATTAAACGTGGCAAAAATCAACAAAGTTCCAGTGCAGCGAGTGTACGGCAGAGCTGAGGAATTCAAAAACGGGGAAAGAGAGAAAAGCTGGATGGGCTGGAGAGAGGGCAGAGGGAAAGAAGAAGAGAGAGGAAGGAAGAAAACAGTTTCATATTGTTCTTAATGTTCAATTTGTACCCAAAGTCAGAGCATTTATGAAATTCCAAACACTGGCCTGATTAATGCTAGCTGGCAGCCTTCCCTGTTGTTAGGTTTCTGTTAACATTAACGACCAGACCTTGCTATATAAGGCGAGAAGTACTAATTATATCCTACAGAAAGGACACGGCTAAGGAGACAGAGAGCAAATCTGGAGTAAAAGTGAGAAAGAGAGAGAAAGAGAGAAAAAGAGAGAGAGAGCCAGGGAGCAGGCAAGACTCACTCCTGGAACATCTGATACATTTCCATAAAGGCCAAAATGTTATTTAGAGCCACCCGCCCTCCCTTCCTCTGGCAAGCAGCAACAGAGGGGAAAAAAATGGAGGTCAGGATCCACAACCTGCAACTTCTGGAATTCTTTAACTGAACGTGCAAAACAAAACAGCAGAGAAATAACTGCTTCCTTCCTCACAGGGGGGCTGCTCAGGGCTCCACGCCTCATCCTTCCTTCCTCAGGGAGCACAGACTTTTTTTTTTTTTTTTTTTTGAGAATGTGCACATCTCACTCCTTCCAAAGCCTCCCAGCTGCTCCTATTTGCTTAAGTTTAGCCTCAGCTGATCCACTGAAAACAGGATGGTCTAATTTGTCAATGCCCAGAAACATTTGCAGTTCTCTCAAGGCCTCCTCAACATCCCAGAAATCTGACACTACCAGCTCATGAGGCCAACTACGACTGTATACTCACCCAAGATATCAAATACCCCTGCCCTGGAGTGGCATAAATAATTGACCAAATCAGAGTCCAACATCAGTATCACACTAGGACACCCAAGGGGCTTGCCCTGAATGAACTCAGACCCATGAGAGATTTTCACCCACATAAGCAGGATAGATGAACAACCCTGTGCCCAGCACTAGCTCATATTCCTAAGCTGATATTCAGTGTTATTTTCTCTATAATTGGAATCTACAGTATAGATACCAAATTCCCTAGTCTGCCCAAAGTTCCTAAGTACTGTTCGTGGGTTCAGAGAATCTTAGAACCCAAAGGATCAAGTTCAATTATTTTTACAGATGAGAAATCTAAGGCCCTCAGGCCTTTAGTGGTTTGTCCAAGGTGGTGGGGGAGAAGACTTTACCTAGGCTTTTCTGAACACCTGGCTCTGGTCCTGGCTGTGCTCCTCTCTAGCTGTGTGACCTCATCCTGCTGAGCTTCAGTATCTAAAATAAGTAGGATGGACTGCATAATTGTTAAAAATCCCTTTTATGCTCCAATGGTGATGAGTATTCAAGTCTTAACCACACTGTGATGGCAAATTTCTCTCCTTTGGGGAGTGCTGCAGATCCCTGCCTGGGTGCTTCTCTCAGGAACTTCCTAGATAGCACCCACTCTCCTTCAATAGCCTGCCTGCAGCCCAAGACTCCTTGAAGCTCAGTTCCACAACTGAACAGGGTCGTGAGGTGAGGAGGGGGGTGCTTTATAAACATGATGCGTTAAGACGCAGTGTTCACTGCCCATGCCCAATGCCAAAGTCCCACAATGCTGGCTCTTCCAAGACCGCCTTTAAGACCGCCAACAACCAGTTCTCATATTGAGCCCATCACCCTGAGGTCTGAGCATGGACATGGTTCCACTCACCTCACTTTCTCAAGAAAATGGTTCAGTCTCCACAGCCTGTTTAGCTTTTGGCAAGCCTGCTGGGGCTTCAAGGAGGCAGCCAATTAGCTCCACTTTATGGCACTGATTACTTATCCACAGGAGTCCAGAAGTATGAACTTTGGCATCTCCTTCCTCTACACTTGACTGCTTCGGGATTTTCACACCCCTAACTCACAAACTGTATCCCCCAAAGGTCAGGTCCAGCACACTGAACAAGCCCTGAACAACTCAAAATCATTTCTCTAGGAAGAAAAAACGTCGTACACACATACATAAGAGTTCCGTCCAGCTTAACTCAGCCCCAGGAGGCCATGACTTCACAGCTATGAATTCCGTGTATGACAACTGGCAGCCTGAACAAAGCTGCCCTGTAGCGTTGCAAGGTGGGGCCAGAGAGGATGACACATGACCATCTACTGGTGGTTCAGACCAACAGTGCTTCCTAGGAGAGGCTGATGGGGAGAGTCAAAACTGCTACCTCTCAGACCATACCCAAAATGGCCAATGTCCTAGAGTTTGGCCCAAGGTGCAACGTTCCTCTGACTACATTTGAATACAAAAAGAGGACTTTGGTAGCAGGAACACAGGCTTCTAATCCTTTGTGCCAGCATCTAGCTCCTTATTTCACAATATTTTGGGGAGGGAGAGGAGTCCAACAACAAAAGAGAAACACTGGAGTCCAGAACTGGGAGTCAGCCTGGCTCACACTGCCTGGGTGGACCTCAGAAGCCAGGCCATGGAGAATGTTCTGACTGCTGCTGTGGGAGCTCACAATGAAGGCCTTGTCTAACAGCCACCCATTCATGCTAGCCATCAATGAAGAAAGAGAGACCGATGCCAAGAGCTTAATACCAGACAGATGCCGGGGGAAGGAAGTGGGCAGAAAGAAGGAATGGAAACTTATGGAAGGAGGAAATAAGTGAAGAGGAAGAATTCCTGAGGGCCATAATCCCATTAGGGGAAACATAACCTACCAATACTTTATGGAGTATAAGAAAGCTTGGGAAAGGATTCTTAGGATTACATGACTTACCCAGGCAATTCTCTAGGAAAGATACCTTGGTGGTTGAAAAGCTTGTCAGGATCAAAGATCTTCAGGATCTTAATAAGCTAGTGTTCTCTTCCCCATAGAAAACCATATCCAAGGGATCCCTGGGTGGCGCAGTGGTTTAGCGCCTGCCTTTGGCCCAGGGCACGATCCTGGAGACTTGGGATCGAATCCCATGTCAGGCTCCCGGTGCATGAGCCTGCTTCTCCCTCTGCCTATGTCTCTGCCTCTCTCTCTCTCTCTGTGACTATCATAAATAAATAAAAATTAAAAAAAAAAAAAAAAAAAAGGAAAACCATATCCAAGACTAAGCTAGATATCCTGGCAAATTGTAGGTAGGAAAAGAACTACTCAGTGGTCCTTTCCTTCTGCAAAGTCAGGATAATATTAGGTCTCTTAGGAACAAGGTGGCAACAATATAATGTACTGATCATGAACCAGATCTTGAGCAAATTACTTAACTTCTCTGTGCCCAGAATTCTCATCTATAATTTTGGGATCATCACAGCACTGACTTCATAGAATTGTTGTGAGAATTAAATTATATATGTCAAGAACCACACCTGACACATGCCAGCTCTCAAGAGATGTCAACAATTATTATTATTCTCCACACCAGATCCATTACAATATACTTTGCTCACAGATCAGACCAACAACTAGTCTGTTCCTCATAGGTCTGTTGAAAAGATCACCAAAGACAGTATACATGATGTGTGAGATTATCCATTGCCTTCATTATCCTTATAGCTCTGGATAGCAGAAGGAGGAGATAGAAGATAATGCAGTGAGAAGGCTGAAGTGGGAAATGGGCCCCAGAACTGTGGCTGGGCATGTGCAAAATGTTTGCCTTCAGGGAGAACCTAGGAGCTAAAAAGATGAAGACTCTGAGTTTCCCCAATGGGCTTACCAGCTATCAGAAGAAATGACTAGAATTCAAGGCCAAAATTAATAGATGCTTTTAGAAAAGTATAAACCAAAAACACAGTGAGCAGGAGGGAGAGTGATTACTTTGAACCAGAAGGATTCTCAGAAGGGTAGCTTTTCAGCTGGTGCTGAAGGACAAGTAAGACCTTGACAGGCTTCCAGTTTGGCAGAAACACATTAGAAAAATCAGGGATGTGAACCTCGTGTGTGGGCACTCCTGGGACTCCCAGACTTGTAGAAGAGGACCATCAGGCCTGAGGCTCTCCCTCCTACTGGGAATCACTGCACTCCCACCTCAGAACTATGCAGCTTCTGATCCTCCTCCTGAGCTGCCCTCAGCAGTCCCACAGCCTGCCCTTCTAGGAGAGAAACAAGGGGCCGGGACACAAGGACAGCTGTTTCCTTACTCTCCCCACATATCAAGGCCAGCTGCTCTACTGAATGGCACACACCAGCATGCTAATTCCCAGCCCCTTCAACTTTCAATCTTTATTCATTCTGAACATTCATTTTCCTTTTACCCTGTGAGCTGCTGAAGCAAGGGGTCTTCTGTGTTGCATTCTAATTATGATGATGATCCATGGGGATCTCAAGGGCTTCTGAATAATAACATTTTAACATTTACACATTTTCAGTCACCCCCCTGTCTGTTTAGATTAAGGCTAAAAAAATGTAGCTTGTATGAGAACTTGCTAAGTCAAATCAACCCTCCAACCTGAAGAAGGTTACCCCAGTTACCAGACTGCTCCGCTTTCTTTTTTTTTTTTTTTTTTATAATTTTTTCATCTGATGTGTGAAAAATGACATCACACTACAGTTCTTTTTTGTTTTTTTTTTTAATTTTTATTTATTTATGATAGGTACACAGTGTGAGAGAGAGAGAGGCAGAGACACAGGCAGAGGGAGAAGCAGGCTCCATGCACCGGGAGCCCGACGTGGGATTCGATCCCGGGTCTCCAGGATCGCGCCCTGGGCCAAAGGCAGGCGCTAAACCGCTGCGCCACCCAGGGATCCCCCGCTTTCTTTATTCCATTAGGATTGGAACCCTCCAAATGCCCAGTCACTGTAGTGGGAACCAGAAAGTGTGTGTGTCCAGGAAAATGCCCAAGTACAGGGCTACTTATGGAAGGTCACTGTGTTTTCCTCAGAAGGAAGGTGCTAACTAGGTTATGCAGACACTTGCCGGCCACTGT